GCCCCAGAAAACAAATTTTTAGAGAAATCACGCCAAAAAATTAGGAAACAGTCTCAGACAAATGAAAGCACACATGACCAACATGTGCAGGCTGGGAAAAAGCAATCACAAACGTGTGAATTAGAAGAAAGGGGGCTGGCAGAATGGCGGAGTGGGCTAAGTGCTGCTTGGACTGCCCACATCCCATACTGGAGATCCGGTTCGAGTCCACCTTCATCTGCTTCTAATCTAGCTCCCTGCCGACGCGTCCCAGGAGCCAGTGGAGGGTGGCCTGAGTGCTTGGGCCCCTGCCACCCATGTGCGAGACTTAGTCGGGGTTCTAGGCCTTGGCCCTTAGCTCAGCTCAGCTCTTGTAGGCACTCTGCAGAATCAGTGCACGGAAGTTCTCTTTCTGCCACTCTGCTTTAAAATCAATTAATCTTACTTTAAAAAGAAGATTCTAAATCAATATAATACCTTAAGGAACCAGGGAAAGAGAAACATACTGAATCTAAAGGAAGCAGAAAGAAGGGTTAAGATAGAGATAAATGAAACAGGCCAGAAAAGCAACAGAGGAAAATCCAAGAAATTAAAAATCGGTTCTTTGAAAACACCAATAAAAATGACGATTCTTTAGGTGGACAGCCAAGAAAGAAAAAAGACTCAAATGACTAGAATCAGAATCAAAAGATGGGACATCACAACCTACACATTGTTCTAACACGTGTCTTCCAAGAATTTTCTGAAGAGCCCTTGGTGCTGTGCACAGTGCATTAAGCCACCATCTGCAGTGTCAGCATCCCCTATGGATGCTGGTCCAAGTCCTGGCTGCTCTCATTCCCAACCAGCTCCCTGCTCACATGCCTGGGAAAGCAGTAGGCCCCTGCACCCACGTGGGAGACTGGGAAGATGTTCCTGGGCTACTATGCCCGTGTGGAGAGTCTCCCCCATTTCTCCCTTCTTTGTAACTCTTTCAAATTCATAAATAATGTATCGCACTTGAACAAACTTTTAACTGGATTTTCTACCAACTTTTTCAAGTACTCTCATATGTGTGGTATTAACAGAGGCTGTGTTAGAAAGCCCATCTCGCAGGTGCTGTGTGAGCTGGCTGTCCCTACCCAGGCTCACGTGATGACCGTCTCCTTCCTCTGGAGGTCCATAGGGGCCTGGGCCCCCTCCCCGCTTGGTGAGCACCTCCGCGGCCTCATTTTGGGGCCTGGGTCTCTCCCATCACAGAACAGTCAACTGCAGTATTGCAGGCTCCCGTGAGTGGCGGTGCTGGAGGGTGCTCAGTTTGGGGGTTTGCATCCCTGTGCTGGGGGAGCCTGCAGCCTCGGAGCTCCCCCTAAGGCTCAGCCACACTTCCTCATTCCTCTTCCCCCGCTGAGGCGCTACTGTTAAGGGCGTAACTCTCCACACCTTTCTGGACACGCAGGCATGCCCGTAACTGACAGGCACGTGTTTATGTGCCTGCTGTGCCTCGGATACCGTGCGAGCTGGTTCCAGGTGGCCTATAAACGCGAGCCAGTGCTCCTAACTCTCTCCTTAAACAGTTTTTATTCTCACATATAAATGTTATGTTCAGACGAAAGCGGGTTTTACTGCGTTGGGTGAAGTCCTTACAGTTCTAGAAAAAAAGAGAAACGCAAAGACTTTGCATCCGGGAGTCCTGGGAGTGTTTCTTGGGGGGAGGCCTAGGATGCGGGAGAGCAGAGACCAGCTCCACAGGGCACAAGGCAGCTCACTGTCCCTGCCCCCTGGCCGCCAGTCCCACCTGCAAGGCCGCTGTGTCCCTGCAGCCACTTGGCAGCTGCCTCAAAACAGTGGCGTCAGCATCAGTGTTTAGGGTCTAAATATTAAATGAAAACTTTCACCTGCTAAGGGAGGTGAGGTGGGGCTCCCTCAGGGTCATCGCCTCGGGGGTGACAGCCCCACAGGCCTGGAGCCTTACTGCAGCCACAGTCCCCACTGCTTCCCTTGCCCTTCCAATTCTTAAGGGACTTTTATTTAGAGTCAACATTTGCAATTTTTTTTCTTTTTAAGATTTATTATTTATTTTACTTGAAAGTCAGAGTTACCAAGAGAGGGGGAGACAGAGAGATTTTCCATCTGCTAGTTACTTATCCAAATGGCCGCAATGGCTGGAACTGAGCTGATCTGAAGCCAGCTTCTTCTGGGTCTCTCATGTGGGTGTGGGGGTCCAAGGACTTGGGCCATCCTCAACTACCTTCCCAGGCATAAACATGGAGTTGGATGGGAAGTGGAGCAGGCGCTCACATGGGATGCTGGCATGGCAGGTGGAGGCTTAATGTGCTATGCCATCACACCAGGATCAGGATTTTTAATATATTTTATTTATTTAAAAGGCAGAGCTAGAGGAAGAGGAGGACACACACACACACAGAAAGAGAGAATTTTCCATTTGCTGGTGCACTTCCCAAATGGTCACAATGGCCAGATCTGGGCCACTCTGCAGCTGGGAGCCAGGAGCTTCTTCCAGGGACCTGAGGGACTTGGACCATCCTCTGCTGCTCTAGCAGGACATTAGCAGAGAGGTGGATCAGAAGTGGAGCAGCCAGGACTCCAACTGGCACCACATGGGATACTGGTGTAGCAGATGGAGGCTTAATGTGCTAGGCTACAACACTGGCCCCTTTCCCTTCCAATTTTAAAACAGTCATTCTGGCACTCTGCAGGGTCCTGGAGGAATCCTGGGAGGGGCTGGGGAGCCACCTGCCACCACCTGCTCAGCTGACCTCCTACGGGAGTCGCCGGGCAGCTCAGAGAACGGCCTGTCTGCTTTGGGAGCCTACAGGTTATCAGCAGTTACCCGCCATCGGCCTCCCAACCAGGAAGGTGCACGGGGCAGCAAGAAGCCCAGAATACAGAAGGCCTTTGCATTTGCTCTGTGGACCACAGAGCGAAGCATTTCCAAGGTGAAGTTCCCCACAATGGAGCCCCATCACTGCCCTCTCCCAGCCCAAATCTCAAAGGGCGAGTAGCAAAGGAGGGGACAAATTGAAGAACAAAAGGATGATCCTGAAAGAGGTAAGACTGTCCCTGCGAGGAATTCGGGGACATGGTGGCAGGTTACTGGCCTTAGTAATGACCACTGGTGTCCTGAGGGCAGGCCGCAGCCTCTGAGCGGCTCCTGCCCTGCTGGGGAGGGCGTGGGCTGTGTGTGTACGTGAGGGCAAGGGCTGGGGCCGAGTGCCTGTTTTGCGTGGCTTGTGACTTCAGAAGGATTTGTATGTCTTTAAATATGAGGGGGGAAAAACCCACAGCCCTGGTGACATGAAAATTGCATGTCCTTCACAATCTGAGTGTCCACAAATAGCTCTGTGGGTACGTGGCCGCGTCCAGCTGTCTGGGTGCCGTGGACAGCCACCCCGTGCGGGCAGGCCTGGGTGCGCCTTCTCCGCCCTGTTGGGGACAGTCGGCCGACCCCCGTTCTAAATTGAGCTATGCTGCCTTCCGCCAAAGGCGGCCTTTAGGCTGGCTCTTCCTAAAGGACCCATGCTTGCAGGTCAGGTTCCACACGCGACCGCAACAGACCACAACCACAGCCGCATGCAGGAGGTGCGAGCTGGAGTGCCCGCTACTGCCGCCTGCAGGTGAAGAAGAAAACGGCAGGCAAGGAGGCCCGGCAAGAACAGTCTGGGCCCTTCCCAGCGTGTTCCCTCCGTGGGCCTCGGAACACCTGTGCTCCCCGCCTGACACCATCACTGAGCAGCACACAGCCTTTCACCTCACTCAACAAGAGCCCTTCTTCCAGTGCCCCCTTCAGGGGTGGACGCTGCCCAGATGGCGCAGGCCAGAGCCGGGCAGAACAGGATAACCAGTGGCTGTTCTTCCGGGTCTTTCAAGGAAGAACGTGCAAGCGCTTTCACAGCATGGTCGTGGTCAGTCCTCAGCCTCTGCCATGCACCCCCTTCGCAGCTGCCCCCTGCACACGCACTGCCACACAGGTGAGCTGGGCTCTCGCAGTGGGGGAATGTACTCTAACAACGCACACAGTGGTGTGGCCAGCTTGGGCGTTGGCCAGGAGCCTGAATCACCACCATTTCCCTCCCAGAGCGACAGGGGCCAAACACCTGCCCTTGGCAGCAGCACTCCTGGTGGACACTGCCCCTACTGTCCAGGACGTCCAGCACCGTGCCGGCCCTCTGAGGTGTGGGCAGCCTGGCCCTCCTGTTAGGGTGGCTGGGCAGGCACTAGCCTGTGTGCATGAGGGCAGTGGACAACAAGAATTTGTTCAGATAATGCATCTCTGTGTGGTGGAATGGGGAAGCCAGCCCCGAGAGCGGAGCAGCCGTCACTGTTGCAGCCACGGCACCTGCCAGGCGATGCTGTAAGCTGAGTCCCAGCCCTGTCCTAGGGTCTCCCCTGCCGCCACCAAAAGGGCTACGAGGTCCAGTGACACTGTCCACATAAGGTTCCCACATCCAGACAGCCCCAGCCACAACTTCCCAGAGAGGGAGGAGGGGAGAAGAGACGGAGCCAGGCTTGTGTCCAAGAAAACCCCAGCCGGAAGCTGGAGTGCATCTCAGCCCTTTCCTGAGATGCCTGCCTGGCCGAGAAGGTGCGTGCTTGGCAGCATGCCTGCCGCTTGGCTTTCTTGTGCAAAGACAAGAAGCTCTGAGAAGCCGCCTCTATTCACGCCCCTGAGCCTGGCTTCGCCCCTCCACGCCGCTGGGCCACCCTGGCCATGACTCAGAGCGAGCTCCTAAGATTCCTGGAAGCCCTGGTGCCTCCCCTCTTGAGGCCTGGCCATGCAGACAGTGGTCCAAGTGAGACCAGTGGAGACTGAGGACTGGCCTGCACACGAGGGGAGGCCCGCAGGACCAGGGCACAGCAGCTGAATGCCCACCTTGGGGAGCAACGCTGCCCCCAGAACTTGAAGGGCAAACACAGAGAGAACCTATTCCCACTCCCTGCCCCTTCTTGCCTGATCCCTCTTGGCACAGTCTGGCAGGAGTGTCCCAAGAGGGGCCAGGAGCCAAGGGCCTCCCACTTACTTCATCATCTTCCTCTTCATCATCGTCAGATTCGAGAACGCCATCTGCCAGCTCTTCTGTAAAGAAATCAAAGAATTGGTGGTGTGCCACCAATGCAGCAGCGCCTGAACCCAGATGACCCTGAAGCCATGGAAGAGCCCTGGTCTGGGTGCAAGGGCTCAGCTAAGGAGGCGGGAACGGCCAGGCAGACAGGGTGCAGGGCAACGCCAGCCAGCATGGAAGCTCGTTTCATTTTCCTGTGATACCAGAGTGAAGCTTGCAGCCAGGCATGAAGCTGTTGTAGAAAATAAAGTTGCATTCCTCTCCCCCCTCTGAATGTGCTTTGTAAAAATGGAACAAAGGGTTGTTTGTATTTTTCCTGCCTACCAGCACATGAGATGCTCAAGCAAACCGTGGCCCGCCCAGCTGCTGCCTCTGACCAAGAGCCGTCGGCTAGCCTGGTTTGTGCATCCTGCATCCTGCGATGCTCCTCCTGGCTACAGGCTGTGATTGCCGTGGGCTTTAAAAGCTCCCCTCTTTCCAAGGCTCCAGTTTCACTTGTGCGTGGAGGGGGAGCACTGCCTGGAGGAGTTGTCCAGGCCAGGAGCCATGGGACCCCATGGGCTTCTGAGCCTGCTCTGTCGCTGGACTTTGGTCAAGCATTGTGATCTTCCATTCACATGCTGGACAGGGTGTTTGCCCTGGGACTTGGGGAGTGGACTGCAGGTATAAGAGCAGGCCACTCAGGGACCTTGGGCAGGTGGCCAAGACTTCCCTGCCAACCTCGTTCCATTGGAGGCTTCCCTGGCCTTCCTCTCCTGCTTAGTATGGGATGTGTTGCTAGGATACTGGGAGAAGGGAGACAGGAAAGGACCATAGTGTCTTCCCATGCCGCCAGTTGGCAACATGCATTTTGTGGGAGGATGATGTTTCTGCTACAGGGGTACTACAGAGACTGGCATCTGGTCCTGGGGCCATTGGGAGGGACAGGTTTTAGGAGAAATGACCATATGCCTACCATGGGACAGGCAATGGCCAGCCTCTGGCCCCCTGGCCTGACTTCCCTTGCAGTTCCCCTGCGGCTTCCCACCTCCCAAGGGACCTCCCAGGTGAGCTTCTGAGAGGTGGGAATTACATGGGAGACACCTGACTTCCTCTTCCTTTCACCTTCTTCCCCGGGGATTACTGCCAGGCTGTGAAGACAGCACATCCTGCTTGCCATCCCACACTAACCAGCAACAAAGCTCACCGCTCGCCTTGTGACCAACCCTCGTTCTGTCAACAGATGATGGCCTGAGAACTGCAGGGGTTAACCCCAGACAGGAATTCATGACCACCCGCACAAAGCAGCTAAGCTTCTTAAGGGGCTTTGATTCCCCCAGGCATGGCCCCAGACATTCTTCCCTAACCAAATCTCCATCCAAACGCACCTGTAGACTCTTGGGGCCTGTTCCCACCCCTCTCCACACTGGTCTCCTGAATAAACTTGCCCCTCACATCCGCTCTGCTCTTGCAGGTGTATGCATGGGGGGGGCGGGGCACGCCCTGGAAAAGCCCAGGGCTCTTTGCAAGAGGCTGACACAGAGACGAGGCCCAGGCTCTGGCAGGGAACTGACCGGAATTCAGCTGCTTGAGGATGAACTCCACCTGGCGGATCATCTCCGCGTGGCCCTCCTTGATGAAGCAGTGGAGGATGTCTTCCATGCCCTAGAAGGGTGACAGAGAGCGACAGGTGAACATCTCGGGGTTGGAGGGAGACCACTTCTCAATGTGAGTAGTTTTCACCTGACCTAAAAAATCATTTTCAATTGGCTAATCCTCTACCTACAGCACTGGCATCCCATATGGGTGCTGGTTCGTGTCTTGGCTGCTCCACTTCCCATCCAGCTCTCTGCCTGTGGCTTGGGAAACGAGTAGAGGGTGTCCCAAGTCCTTGGGACCATGTGGGAGACCCAGAGGAGGCTCCTGGCTTTGGATCAGCTCAGCCCTAGTACTGCAGCTGCTTGGGGAGTGAACCAGTGGATGGAAGGTCTTTCCCTCTATCTTTCCTTTTCTCTGTAAAATCTGCCTTTCCAATAAAAATAAGTCTTTCTTTCAAGGTAGGAGGGAGAAGATCTATACAGTAACAACACTGCTGTGGGCCAACAGCTGTTTCTTCAATCGAAGTGCTTACAATAAAACGGTAACAATGGGCTTAATTGTAATTACAGTGAAAACCTGCTTGTGAATTTTACTGTGTGGCATCACCTGTAGTTTTGGTAACATGCTGTGTTCTGGGAAGTGCTTTCTGTCCTAAGTTTGTACACTGTTTTCTGGCATCTGGCATCACATTGACAGTGCCTGAGCCCTTCCTGGGCCGCTTCAAGTGTGCCCTTTGAAACGTGAAACCATGTGTTTAAAAAGCAAAGAAATGAATAAAATAGAATCACCCTCAAAATAGGCTCTCTTCTATAATTTTACCAAAGGGATTATAAAGTTACTCCATCCTGCGTTATGCCCTTCATTTTCATACGTGATGCCAGAATGTTGACTGGTGGAATTCTAGGGGAACGGAGAGGTGAGACACGGTGGAGGCACAGGGTCTGCCAGCCCTTCGGCAGCCTCCCCAGCAGGATCAGAATGAGCTCGCATGGCTGTAACCGACCGGCCTTTTCTGCCTACGGAACAGTGAACCCAGGATGGAGGGAGCGGAGTCCAGAGGGGCTTCCAGAGGGAGGAAGGGAAGGGCGTGTGAGCTCGGATCACACTGACAGTGCCTGAGCCCTCCCTGGGCTGCTTCACATGTAGGTTGGTTTGTCATCACTGACTGTTCCAACTGCAGTGAAGCCGTGCCACGTGAAGCTGCAGATGTGCTGGGTGCCCATCACCCAAAGCAGATCTTGGGTGACACTGTCACTAGTGTTGGAAGTGGGCACTTCACCCAAGCTGCCTGATTCTCGCAGCCTGTTTGTTCACCTGTAAAAGGCAGGTGGCTGCCTGAGTCACTACGAGGTTTTTAAAAGACAAAGGGAGTGACTGGGTTTTGGCTCTGCAGATGCATTGCCTGGACATTGAACTGGGCATGTGAGACCTGTCCGTACCACTGTTTGCAAATGATACTTAATAAACCAGCACCAGGCCCAGTGCCCACAAGTTGGCAAAGACACTCAATGCAAGGCTAAGGCTGTGCTGTGACATAAGGCAGCAGCCTGTGGTCGGGCGCTTTGGTTGCCGGAACAAAGAGAGTGAACAAGGCTCCCAGGGACAGTGGCAAGAAGGGCAGAGGGTTCGGACCGAGCCTTGGGGGGTTGTTCACCTGGGGGCAGAGCGGGACAGCCCTGCAGAGGCTGGGCAGGGGTGTTGTGGGTGGGGGCAAGGCCTTGGACAGGTGTCCTTGGGTCAGGGGGTAGCGTCCAGGGCACGCACGGGCTCCCCTCGTGCGGGCTGGACACCAGGCTTGTCTCTATGAGTGCAGACTTTGATGCCTTTCTCAGAAACGTTTTTTTCCTGGGGTTTCCATCCCTAGCAGGGAATGCAGAGTGTCTGCAGGCCAAAGCAGAGTGACAAGGCTTGCAGCACTAGCGGGTCACAGGACACAGAATGCCAAGGTCTCGCGCGGTGTCACGTGCTCACTGGTGGAATGACGGGTGACTCGCTCTGGCTCTCCTCCACACCCTCTGCCCAGAGGGTGCCTTTGCAGGCAGGTGTCCGCACACACACCTGCACCTCTTTTCATTCTTACACACTTTCACCTGTTTCTAAGCCAGCTGTTACTTGTACAAAAATTTCCTCTTGGTAAGCAGAAGGACTATCTGCAGAAACCTTCTCACTAGAATATTCTCTGGTGAGAAACTCCACTTATTTTTTTAAAGCCACATATCTTTGGTATTATCTAATCCAAACCTCAGGTCTCTATAGCAAGTCATAAAACTGAAATAGTGTTTTTTTCTGAAAGTAGTATTTGTCACTTTGGGTATTTTTGGACAACTAAAAACAGGCGAATGGAAAGGACAGGACTGGCTCGGAGTGTGACAAAGAGAAACCAAGAGTATGCAAACAACAAGGAAATAAGGAACTGACACACTCCCACCAGCAGTTTCAATAAAACATTTGTCATAAAGACATGGGCTGAGTGTCCCTTCTCCAAAATGCCTGGGCTTCAGAAGACCGCCGGGATCAATGTAAGAGTTGCTTCACTGCTCGAATGAAACATATTACAAAGCTCCATCAGTTAAAACAGCACAGTACTGGCACGAAGATAGAGCCACAGACCAATGGGACAGAATTACAGACCCTCGAGTCTACACATCTACAAAGACGTGAAGAATGTGTGCTGAAGAAAGGACAACCTTTCCCATCAATGGCTCTGGGAAAACTGTGTCCACAAGGAGAATAAAACCAGACCCTCACCTTTCACTCTAGAAAAAAACAAAACTCAAGACGGGTTACGGAGCTAAATGTAAGGCCTGAAACACTGAAACTATCGAAAGATGACAGAGAAGACACTTCAGGACATTGGAACGGCAACAGTTTACTGAACTGGCCTCAAAAACACTGGAAGCAAAAACAAAAATGGACAGTTAGGATTTCAGGAAACATAAGAGCCTCCGAAGGGCCCATGCTGTGGCCTGGTGGGCAGACCCACCATCTGGGATGGCAGCATCCTGCAGAGGCACCGATTTAAGTTCCCGCTCCTCCACTTCCGACCCAGCTCCCTGCTATAGACCTAGGAAAGACAGTGGGAAGATGGCCCAAGTGCTTAGACCAGCCATTCACATGGGAGACCAGGACGAAGCTCTTGGCTTCTGATGCCAGCCTGGCACAGTGCGGCTGTTGCAGCCTTCTGGGTAATGAACCAGCAGATGGAAGTGCATTCTCTCTCACTCCCCCTCGCTTTTTCACTTTGGAACCTGGACATTCAAATAAATCAATCAATCTTGAGAGAGGGTGCTGAGCAAAAGGAAATAATAACAAGACACTACACAGAGTGGCACCTCTCGCAAGGGGTCAACACCCTGATTCTGTGAGCTCAGACCCAACAGCCACAAGCCCAGTCCTTAAAATCGGGCACTTCTGAAAGCAAGGGACACAATCGGCCCACGGATGCAGGAACAAAGGCTCAGCATTGCTGCTCATCGGGAAGATGTGAATCAGAACACCACAGTGGGACATGACCTCCCTCCAGCAGGGCTGATAACTGCTGCCAGGGAGACGAGAGGACAGGTGCTGGAGAGGAGGCAGAGAAAAGGGACCACTGGCACACCGCTGGCAGGCGTGCAGATCAGAACAGCCCCTGCAGAAAACCGTAGGGGGGCTCCTCAAAATACCAATCTCACACCACGTGATGCAGCAGGCCCACTCCTGCAAACAGACCCAAGGGAAATGAAATCCACCTGCCAACGAGACGTCTACCCTCGCATGTTTAATGTAGCACTCCTCATAGCACCCAGGACACAGAGCCAGCCTCGATGCCCACCCACTGAGATTAAACAGCACGGGCCATACATGCTGTGGAATGCTACTCGGCCCTGAAGAAGGATGGAATCTTCCTATTTGAAACAACAACGTGGAACTGGGGGTCATTGTGCCGAATGCGATAAGCCACGCACAGAAAGACACATGGCACATACTCTCACTCATAGGCAGGGCCTGCAAAAAAGGCACTGAAGCTAGACCTATAATGGTGGTTGTTCCAGGCTGCAGAGAGGGGGCGGGGAAGTGCGGGGGAACGAGTGATCAGCAGGGGCGGGGTCACAGTTGTGGGGTTCCACCGAACAGCGGGGTAACCACAGGAAAAAGAGACTAGGAGGCAGAGCTGTGGATGTTTTTACCACAAAAAAAAAAAAAAAAACACAATGTTAAATGCTTCAAGAGATAAATATATTCACACTGACTGGACACTGGCAGGCCCTGTGGTCCTGGGACAGACCCCGGCAGTGCTGGGATGCTCCTTGGGGTTGCGTGGCTTCCAAGTTCAGATCCTGCCCTAGCAAAGATTTGGGGGGCCACCCTGGCCCATCCTGCAGGGTTCACTGGGGTTGGGATGTCAGCTGGCGAGGGACCCAGGGCTGACAGGGTCTCCAGGCCTGGGCACAGGAGACTGACGGGCAGCAGCATGGCCTGTCCCCTCACTGCTGCTCCAGCCTGACCCTGGCAGTGTCGTAAAGCTCAAACAGGCTCCAGGGACCTCACTGCTTCCTCCCTCTTTTTTTAGGGGGATCCCACTGTAAGAGTACAATAACAGCACTTTGTAACAATTTTAATGTAAATTCCATCCCCCAAGCAAACGTTTTATACAGTTGCACAAACAGAATTCTCAGCCCTCAATACACACTGACATTTTCCACACTGCCCTCATGCCGTCTTTCCTAATCAGCATCTTCAGTGGCTATTACTATTTCGAGCAGAACAACCACAATATCATCAGCAAGCCCTATATGGGTATCAATTCATGTCCTGCTGCTCTGCTTCTCACCCAGCTCCCTGCTTGTGGCCTGGGAAACCAGTAGAGGACGGTCCAAAGCCTGGGGACCCTGCACCCGTGTGGGAGACCCAGAAGAAGCTCTGGGCTCCTGACTTCAGATTGGCTCAGCTGTGGCCTCTGTAGCTATTTGGAGAGTGAACCAGCAGATGAAGATTCTATCTCTATTTCTTTCTGTGACTCTGTCTTTAAAATAACAACAACAACAACAATAATAATAATGCCAAGCGCTCTTTCCTGCATCACC